TCTTAGGTTCTAGGGTAGTTCACGGCCACACATGGCTTAATGAAAAGGATTTATGGTTTTAGATGATATTCTTCAGTACCTATACGTCTTGGATGATTTCTATAAATAGGAATATGTTTCTTGTGCTTAGAAAGCTAAAAATGATGACCCTAAGGTTCAAGCGTTCAAGGTTGCAACATAATACAAGTTCTTATATCTATTTTCTGTGATTCTTAATCAAATCCATTCGTCTAGTTTTGCTTTGATAAACTTGTTTACTTTCAATAGGTTGCCTTGTATGTGGTTTCCAAAGTGTATACTTCCATCTACATGCACTTATGCTCTCATGGTTTTCAAGGTTCTCATTGTAATAGGGTTACAATTTAGACCCTGCTTTAATCCTAATATTTCGGGTTGTCACATAGAGCAAAGTAAAAACCATTAAGGACAGGACTGTCCAGTCGTTTTACTAGTCGAAGATCAACAACTTGAGGTTGGTTTATATTACTATTCCATCTTTTAATTTTGTTCGATAACAGAACAACCTTCATTCTACCTTTCTTATAATCATATATAATCGTTAAAGATCGATCTAGTTTCTGACGAAACTTGGTAACTAATAATAATAATTGGATTTATTATTCGCAAGTAATCGACATATAATTTTCAATATTAATTGTTGATTTCTTGTGTCTATCTATTATGATTTACAACACATAAAATAGCAAAAGCCATGTTCTTTCCTAACTCATCAATCGACGAATATTCATGGGTTAATCACAAATAAAAACTTCTCTCCATTTTTTTTATTACACTATCCTATATTTTTTTCACTTTCATTATTCATCAATCCTAGCAATATATTTTATCAAACAAACAATTTATTTTTGTTTTTCAAATCACGTTGACACAATTTTAGTAGACATGTCAGTTAGATGTTTGTTGGCTAACGTTCAAGGCTTTTGGATATAACTAGACCCGACATGTGATTGTTAAGCATTTAGCGAAATCATTGGGGGTGTAGATTGCGATTAACACAAATACAGGCTTGATTTTCCTGTTGAAATAATATGCATAGTTTTGGTTAGGGAGCTATGATTATATGGTATGGAAGAGTTGCAGGTTTTGTGAGCGCCAAGGTACACATCAGTTTGTCGTTAAAATCTTATATGTGATTCTAACCATGCTAGATAATGTGCTTGCGATAAATAACCCCTTTTCAATGCATGTCATTAGTAATTATCAAACATATGAAAATATTGTATTTGGTATATTTAATAGATGAATTGAGCGAAATTTGAGAAAAATGCACTTCTTGATAACACTCGTGTACCCTAAGGTGGCGTTTGGTGCATGAATTAGACGGAACAGGACTGAACTGAATAATTTTTTGACGTAGTGTTTGGCAAGACTAGAACAAGATACTAAAATTACCAATTTGTCCTTAGTACCAAATAATATGAAATAACCAAAATAACTAACATATGTTTATAATTAACTAAGAATACGAATAGTAAATTTGTATTAAAGTGGTATAAATAATTTGAAAATAAATACTATATAAAAAAATCAATCAACACCAAAATTAGAAGAGCACCTAATTAAGAACATTGATGTTGTAAATATAAATACTAAATAAAAAAAAATGACCACCATCTCAAGTTATATGTTCTATCAAAAAGCAACCTTTTTGGTCCGGGAATAAATAATTTGGAGCTTGAATTGTTAGCAAGAAATGTCTAGTGTTCTATGGCTCATCTACCATTTATCTACTTAGGAATCCCGGTGGGTGCCGCGATCTCTCGGGCAACTTATTGGAGCCGCCTTATATGTAAATTTCAATCCAAACTTTCAAATGGAAGGCCTCAACACTCTCATTTGGAGGAAGACTAACCCTATGCAAATCAGTCTTAGGGAGTCTTGGTACTTTTTTGTTCTCAATCTACAAGGCTCCAGTCAAAGGAATTAACACCCTTGAGAAACTGAGAAGGTGATTTTTCTGGGGCGGTTCGGTAGAAAAATCAAAAATTCCATGGATAGCGTGGGAGAAAGTCCTTTCGAAACAAACATATGGAGGACTGAATATTGGAAGTCTTAAAGCCCACAACCTTGCATTACTTGGTAAATGGTGGTGGCGCTTTAAAGAAAACAGAGAGGATCTTTGGAAGAGCACAATCATTGCAATATACGGAAGGGATGGGGGTTTAAATACGCCTTCGAGGGCAAAAAGGAAAAGTTGATGCTGGGGAAACATTGCAAACCTATCAACAATCCTCTCAAAGGAAAAAATAGATTTCAAGGGTCTTTTCTCAGAGTCTAGATCAGCTTGGCATATCAAATGGTCCTGGAATTTAGAGTCTTCAGGGATATTCTCGGTCTCATCCCTAAGGAATCTCATTGACAGCTACATCTTACCTAGAACTACTATGGAGTGGGATTGGAATAATCTTGTCCCTAAAAAAGTTAACATCTTAGCTTGGAGAGTTGCTCACGGCAGAATCCCAACTAGAGTGAACTTGCTTAAAAGAGGCATTGGTAGCAATCAATTATGTGTTTTGTGTAACCAAGAAACAGAAACAGAAGAACACCTTTTCCTTAGGTGTAAAATATATGTTGAGGTCTGGAATGACCTCAAAGCTTGGTGGCGCCTTCTCCCGGACCAACTGGTATCACTGTCTGACCTGTTATTCTGGAAGAGTGAAATGGCGTCTAGTACTTTATCCCAATTTCAATCAGCCATTATACTTGTATATATTTGGGTAGTTTGGAGCCACAGAAACCTTAAAGCTCATCCGGACAGTCAAGCCTCTCATAAAGGTTTGGCAAACAACATACAAACTCTCTCCCACCTCTAGATTAACTCCAGATTGAGGAACAAGTCTATTGGATGGAGGGATTGGTGTTTCGACCCTGTTAGCACAAGTTTCCTTATCTAAGCTAGGGGAGTGGGGGAGGGGGTTGGGGAGGGGTATAACGTAGTGTGTATCTTGGTGTCTTGGTGCGTGCCAGATGCAGCCTAGTGTGTGTTTGGTGGGTGTTTTCTTTTAATTCGGGTAGTTTGAATTTTAGGCTTTGGCTGCTTGTTGTAGCACTCCTTTCGGGTTTCTTTGTTGTGCGGTGTGATTGAGTCTCCTAGTGTAAGCTGGGGCGGGGGGGGTGTCTATTGGTGTGTGTGGTGTTTTTTTTTCTCCTATATACTTTTCTTTGCATGTAAAGGTTATCCTATTTGATCGACATTCAGTTTTCCCCTGCTATTTTCTACAAATGGGCTTATCTCACTTATGGGTTCGGAGTGTCATGGCTTCCCAAAATTCAGTGCATTGTGATGTATATTTAATTACAGCAGGCGTTTTACATGCCTCCAATGGGTCTGCTGGATATTCCATTGCCTGCAGTTTTAAAGAATTAATGGTGATTTAGATGCAGGAAGTGTGATTCTACTAAAGCTTGGAGTCAACTCCCTAAAGGCTGGTTTTGACGATTTTACCTCTGCATTCCAGGTTGACTGTTGTGACAAGCCCTTGGTTATGGTTCGTTTTCAGGGGGTGGAATCTCTTTTGTTGATACTGTTTTTCGGTTTCTATTAATTTGGTGCTAGCTCTAGTGATGGTTTGGCGAGTTGGTTTCTTTCACTTCTGGCATAATTTATAGTATAGATGATATGAGTAGCTCGATTTCTCTTTTCTTCTTCTTGTTTTTATGTTTGTCTTATGGTCTTTTGTTGTACTTCGCGCTGTTTTTTAATATATTAATGCCGTTCCAAAAAAAAATATATGTTCTATTTATTCATTATTGTTAATTTACTGTTGTTGGAATCTATATAATATGTTTTTAAAAAATTGACCTATCTTTACTCCATTTATCCTCCTCACGTTGAACAAGACCCAACATCTTAACCCTCATCAAAGCGGCCCACCATCTTAACCTTCATCTCAAACTTTTTAAACCCCGACCAAAACTTCACATCTGCACCATCGAGACCTTTCTCCATCTGATACCATTCAAATTGTTCACCAAACAGCCTACGAGGTAAAGCTCCACTATCGGCATAACATTTGATATCAAGAGAACACCACCAGAATAGAAAACGAAGAAAACACCTCTGGAATGAGTGAATTTTTTTTGAGATGTATAGAAAATGGCGTTTTTGTTTCTCCTCCCAAAAAACGAGTGCTTAAACTCTTATTTACATTTGTGAGAAGTTGTCAGATTCAGGTCGATTAGGTTTTTTTTTTCTTATCTATAGCATGGGTGTTGAATGGAATGGAAGATTAAAAGGATGCAGGAATGGGATTTTGAAAGGGGCGTGTTGGTGGTAGAGAACTTTAATTCGAATCATTAGTTAACGTAGCTTTATTTTTTTATGATTTGCAATTCTATAACCAATTCTTGGTACATTGTACAATTTTTGGTTACTTGTTGAATCATCAAAGTAGAAGGCGTGCTTCTAGCTAGCTTTATCTGTGTTATCCCATATCTTCCTCCTCTAAATCAGAATCGAAGGAAAGAATGAAGATATAATGATTCATCACCAGACATCAAATGGTGGTCCTACCAGCAACATAATGCCAATAATGCTGCTTCTTTCTGGAACACACAATGCATTAGGAATTTGATGAACCCAACAAGATTTTCTCAAGAAGAACGAACCATGGTCAAATTAATCTAACTTGAATGACTTGGTTTTAACCTAAATCAGTCCCAACATTTTGACAACTGTGATCCTTCACTTCCTGATACCATTAAAACAAAGAAATGCATGGTAGGTATGTGAGAAAGAGAAGGGCCAATGTGATGACTGATGAGTCCAAAAATATGGATCCAGACACAGACACCTAATTGCCAACTCAGCAAGGGTGAGCTACATGCTGCTGGAAGCGGTGTGTCGGAGCAATGGAGGCACAGAAAGCAGCACAGGAAGCCTGCAATTCTCAAATCTTTGCTTACAAACAATACCATGGTCAAAATAATATTCCAAATGGAATTAATGATTTTAGTTTTAGGAATATTCTGAATCCATACAGCCATACAAGTAACATATAATGTCAAAAATTAGAATCTTTATGTAATAAAAGGGACAAAAGTTTGTTTATTTTCCTATACACATTTGGCTATGTTCCTATACAACAGATTATAATGAATGAAAGAAAGAGGTATATAAGTTGAGTTAAGTTAAGTTGTAGGATGATGTATCATTCCATCCCAAGCAAGAGGAGCTTCAAGGTCTCCTATGATTCTTGATATTCTAACTTCAAGACCTCTTTGGACTTCTCTGAAAAGGCTTCGTACACAATCACCAAATTTCTTCATGTCAAATCCATCATTCACACCTCCAACAAAACCAGAAGCAATCTTGGACTGTATCTCAATCAATTTCTGTCCTGTTGCCACTATGTATCTCTGCAGCTGAAATGTCTCTTCAAGAAAATGCTCCAATTTCTTCGTCTTCACTCCACTGCCTGCATCCCCATCATTCTCATACTGTAAAACAAATTTTCACCCAAAACTCATCACAAACTTTAAAACAAAATTAACTTGATTTTTTTTTTTAAAAAAAAAAAAAACCCCACCATTCGCTTGCAGATATCGTTAGCCTTCTCTTGGAGAGACTGATATCTGCTAACTTGTTTATTGACTAAAGACACCAGGCTATACAGCTTCCTTTTATCATCATATTCCCTATTTTCACAACTTTCTTGCTTTCCAGTCAATCTCTCAAACATGAGTAGCTGTTGTTTTAGCCTCTTGATCTTGTAGAACACCCCGAGAGCATGAAGATCCATCTTCCATGATGATGATGATGATATGTTTTCACCACTGACAATATCTTTTTTCCTTGAACATTCTTCTCCAACAGAAACTACATCTTTCTTATCTTCAAAATCCTTATCTGGAGATTGAACTGCCAGCACCATTGCTTTTGAAGGAACTTCTTGTTCTTCATCTTTTTCTTTCTGGGATTTTGGAGTGTTGAGTTGTAATTCTGATTTCAAGGCATGCAATTCTGATTCACGGTTGAACAATAAAGATTCAAGTTTATGGTTTTGTTGTTTAAGGTTTGTTAGATCATGATCAAGCCCTTCAATATGGGAATGAAGTCGTTTCATCTCGATATCCATGCTCATTGAATGCCAACGAAAAGCTTCTAATTTCTCATCTTTCAATCTCAATTGTTCTGCAAAAGCATTTACCTCGACCTCATGCCTTTGCTCAACAACACTTATATATTTCTCAGTTTCACATTGAACCCATCCTTCCAATTCTCCAATATTTGCTGCAAGATCTTCAACAAAGATTCACAAGTCAAATACATGATACTATAAACAAAATATATGTTGATAAAAGGTGGTGTTACCGAATTCTTGGCTTCCCTCTGTGATGATGGATTGTTGAGAAAATGGAGAAGCAGTGCATTGCTCTTCCTTCAACTCTAATTGCTCCGGTTTGGATTTGTGGTGTCTAGAAAGCATACTTCTCAGTGAATATCTCTCGTGTCTTGACTCAGGCACTGTCTTTGACTTTGACATTTTGACTTCTTTCAGTAACATTTTCTTCTCAGCTGTATCCAGTTTGAATTTCCTCAGCATAGCCGACAAAATCTTGTCTTTTTGCTCCAAATCTTTGCGGGTTTTGATAAGTTCCATTGACAGCTTTTGTGTCATCAACACATACTGTTCCTTTTGCTCTAAAACTCCATTAACTTCTTGTTTTTCTGCTTCCATCTGTCTAACAGCTCTACCCATCTCTGCTTCAAGCTGTCTTTGTGTTGATACAAGCTCAATAAACGCACTTTTATGCTTCCAAATCTCTTTCGAATGCTCTTGAGCTTCACGTTTCAATGTTTCTCTCAACTCCTCGTTTATTTTCTCAGCCTTTTTTACGCTTTCCTCTTGCTCTCTCCTCTTATCCTTTTCTTCCTCCAACAACTTTTCTTTTTCTTCAAGCTGACCACATAATCTGGATACATTTTCTTTACTTTTCGTATTGATAACTCTTAATTCATGCAAAAGAGCTCGAATTTGCTGTGTAAGTTTCTTTCTTTCCATTAACCAGCGCTGCTCATGTGCTGCAAACATGCTGACAACTTTCTCATTGGCTTTTGCATCTTCAACTCGCCTTCTTTTTAACTCTTTGATCTCTGTTTCTGCATTCTTGAGCTTATTTAGAAGTTCAAACTTATCGGTTTTCACTTGTTCTTCTCGCTGAATTCTCCACATAAGCAAACCTATAATCATACATGATCCTGTGATCCCCTTTTCATTCATTGCAATGATTTGGTTACTCCTGTAAAAAAACTAAATGTTAGGTCTCTGTACAAAGTTACTAGAATCAAAGATGAAGTTTCAAAACTTACAAGAATCAAAGATGAAGAAGTCTGTGTTGAATTGGAACATGAACTAGTGAAGATCAAAACAGCAAGATCTTGATGATGTGGTTGAGTTTCAGAACTCTGATATATATTAATCAGCAAAAGCAGATGCTAAAGACTTAAAACATGTGGATGACTTCAATTCAGTTAAAAAGATCATTCATAATGCAAGTTTGTAAGTGGTCAGTATGGGGAAAAAGAACAAATAATTTGTTCCCTTGGTTTCAGTAAAGGCAGAAACATGGAACCCCACTTTTCCTAACTTTTCGCTTAAATGGGGCACAAGTTATGCCAACAGGAGGCAAAAGCTTTAAAATCCTAGTTGTTTTTTTGTCCATATTATTTACCAAAAAGAAAAAAATAATAAGAAAGAAAAAGCGTACATATATTTGTATGAGTATATAATGCACTTACGCCATCTTTGGAAAAATGGAAATTCACTTATGTGTGTCGAGCTTTAGGTATTATAACAGAAAGACCCATATAGAATTAATGTGTGGCCTACTTGATGTGTCTCTTTGTCCACACTCAACACCATGCTGACTATTTCTTTACAAAAGAAGCAATTTGGGGAAATGGGTTCTGATTATACAACCAGGGTTTACTTGTAAAACTTAATCTTGTTATTGAAAAAGACGATTTATGAACAACCACATGATGCAATTATTGAAAAGCAAGATTAAAAAAGAAGCATAGTTCATCTGTAAAGAATGGGGTTTTCATAATAAATGCTTCTTAGATTGGGTCCGAATGGAGTTGAAATAATGAAGGAAATCACTGTCATTTCGACATCATCAACATTGTGATGTGACACCCATGAAAAAGAAACCAGGTTTTAATGGGCCTTAAAGTCTAAAGAGACTTAATCAGCAAGAAAGATTTTGTTTGTATTTCTTTTTTCTTGATTTCTAGATTCTTTATTAATCCCAAGATTAGGGTTTTATTGGGGGAGACCTGTAAAGCAGGACGCTTGTTGAGCAAAAGCTAAACAATGAAATAGGTTGTTGATTTCGATTATTGAAATATGCAAATGGGTGAGAACCTAAGTAGGATGAATCATGAAGCAGACTTTTTTCTTGAGATACTTATCAAGATCGGGCCTTGGTATCTGAGTTTGCTGAGGAGGCATGGAACCCAGCTGCTCCCTGTTGCCAATTTCGATTGAATACAAAGCAAACATTCCAACTCTTAAATCTCTTGCTCCAATGAATCCACGCATGATGATTGAAACACGGTGAAATTTATTATTTTTTTGTTTACGGCTTAATTATCAATTCACGAACGCCACCAACAAAATTGTACCACATCTAACCTGTGCATAAAAATGCTTTAATTTTATATCTAGGTTATAACATCTAGAAACCATGTCAACAAATTAAAAATAATAATAATAATAATAAATAATGACTTATTAAGGTAATTAAGTATTTCGTTTACATTTGGATAATATTGTTTTTTTTTATGTACTTATTTACCCAACAAACTTTTTTCAGTCGTTCACAAATAACCAACATTACCGGCTATTACCTATTTTAGCCTATTGCATTGATTTAGCTCAGTTAAAACGCATTACGTGGAATCTTACGTGGTCATTACACCCCTTTTTCATTTAATTAGGGTTTGTCATCGTCAGCTTGGGACAAGCTCCAAAAACACATCCTGATTACCTTCTTCTGTGAGAAATCAATCGATACAACAAATCGACGATTAGGGATTGGAATTGAAGGTACAAGTTGAAGTCGACTGTTAACATGGCATCCTCATCTACATGTATGTATGTAGCTGTAGATTTTCATTACAATAGAATGTTTTCGCCAAGCCCGTTGGTGTACTTAGACCCCGTAAAAACAAGTGTACGTGATGTGGGTTTTGGGGGATTTACGTATAAAGAGTTTCTTTTGTGGCTTACGAAATTAACCAAAGGAGCCTGTGATAATGTCTATTACTGTATTAGAAAGGAAAGCTTGTGTGAGGGTATTAGAAGAATCGACAGTGATGTTGATTATTGGGAGTTTGTGGAAACTGTTTATAGTCTTGAGAGTGAGTTAGATGTGTACATTGACCAGCGAAATGAACCAATTCTTGATTGGGCTGATAACGAGTTGTTAGCAGATGGTAAAGGGTATGAGTCAGATGAGTTGGATGAAGAGGATGACAAGGATTCTGAACTTTCAGAGACAATGGAATATGAACATGAATGTGATGAAGAGGTCCATACTTTTGATAAAACTATTGGAGACCCATTATTGGACAAACTTTCAGGGTGTAACGACCCAATTTTTCAAAGAAATTTTTCATTTTTAATTATCCAAACACATTTCCATAAATCAAGAAATTCCAAATCAATTGTTTCAAATCCATATTCATTACAACTTTATTTTCAAATATCAGAGTGTCCCATAAAGTCATCTGAGAGAGAGTGCACGCCGCGCCATCAAGCTTTGCCCTTGCCCTTGGGCTCAGATGTACCTGAAACAAATCAACAACCTGTAAGCGAAATGCTTAGTGAGTTCCCCAGAGCATACCACACACCATACACATACACATACACATATCCTGTTAGCTAATTAAAGCTACACACATATCACATAAGCCATGCATATATAAAACCTGTAAGAATGTCATGGGCTACCCCACATGGTCTTTACCTAGGACAGCCATGGGCTACCCCA